TTTTTAACTTTACCCAAACACTTCAAAACTGTTTAAAATCTATTTTGGCTTAAAAGCACCTAAAATAAGTCAAACCAAACGGACATTTACACTTATCAATTATCGACTAGTATGTTTATAACCCTTTTTTTGTTCTTGCAAGTCTTGTAGCCATATCAAACAGTAGATTTAAGTCTAATTCAGGGTCGACTCGGTGTATAACATGCAGTCTGGTTATAAAATTTACAACTTATGTGCTTGTTCAAACTATGGCTCTGGGATGGATGGACCACTAAATTCTCCAGGCTTACCGGATATCTGTGTTTTGTAGTCGTTTTGTCAGAGGCTTGGTCTTTAAAAAGCATGCTGCGCACAAACACATGCCAACCAAGTACGATAAACCTAGGTTGCTGTTGATCGAAGGTGCACTAGGGCTCTCCAGAAAAAGTGAGTTGTCATCATTTCAGGAGTCTGTGCAACAGGTAACCAACAAATCCGCGGGTGTGTCACTTACCAAAATGAGCACATTCTTTGATTAGTGATTGTCTGTTTTTGTTTGTTTATGATAACAGGAGAAAGATAGTGTGAAATCTATCCTCGATATGATAGAAAGGTACCAACCAAATGTAGTTTTAGTGGAGAATGCTGTTTCTCGTGATATACAGGAGTCTATTTTGAAGAAAGGAGTCACCTTAGTCTTTGATATGAAACAACATCGCTTGGAGAAAGTTGCACGTTGCACAGGTTCATTGTCTGCTGATATATTGGTTAGCCAAAAGCTCAGGCAGTGTGACTCCTTTCATTTCGAAAAGTTTGTAGAAGAACATTCTGCTACTGGAGATGCTGGGAAAAAGCCTAGCAAAACATTGATGTTTATTGAGGGCTGTCCTACTCGTCTGGGATGTACAGTGAGTGTATTTGCTTATTGTCTGTTTCTTCATTGATATTATCTAATGTGTTACTGATAGTCGGTTCATGCGACAAACTGTTAGGTTGCTCATGAACAATATAAGTTGGAATAAGATTTATCTTTCTCCAGTGCCATACAAAAAGTATAAGATATTGCATTGTGGACCTTTCAGATCTTCGCTCTGCTGTGCTTATTAGCCATATTATCAAATTCCTCGTTACAGCTATCTTGAGATTGATGACATGGCATAACTTATCAAAAATAAGGATTGATCACATGTCATATACAAGATAGGCACAGAGCTTGTGTAACCAAAATATTGGTTTATCATAATAAGCTTGTGTAACTAGAATAATTGGTTATCATCAATGTCTTAAAACAGATTGCTTTTATATGATTAGAGTTTATTTTGAAGGAGGTGGTCATGCACTGATAACCAAGAATTCTGAATTTTACTTTGGAGCTGTGACTCTTCGAAAAATTAAAGACAGTTTGTTACATCATTGTACATTTTAATAGCAACACTTTGTCCACATAAACATTCAACAATTGCTGAAGCTGTTACACTTACGAGTCCCCGTTTGATGGTTGAGTGATGTTTTCCTTTCCTCTATGTTTTGTTGAGTAAAACTCCAAACTATTTCTTAATTTACGAATTTTTAAAAGATTTTGAAAATTATAACACTGCTTGTGAAGTTTATTTCTTAACTAAGTCATTTTGCTATCGTATATGGAGTTACCTTTTTCTGGTTCTGCCTGTATGACTAACCCATACGAGCATCAATGACAATGATAAATGGCTCAACGAGCAATTGGACAAAATTCTGCTGAATTAGTATATTCACATCCCATGGATTGTCTACTCGGTGTTTCCTTATCCTCAGTATTTTAGAAGGCTGTTTTGGGACTCACCCTGTGGCTCACCCCGGGAGGGGCACCGGCAAAACACCTCGAGGATCACATGCGGAGCTTAGTTCTGTGAGGCTTACACCCTAAACACGCCTAACGCCCAATGCTCGGGTGTCCCCCTGACAATTCTTACACAAGTTATATGTCAAATTCCTTAGTCAACACTATTGATCCTCATAATTCCTTAATAGATGAATGATGCTTGGTAGTTTTTTTCATCTATAGAAATAAGAAAATTGAGAATACCTCAAATAACAAGTCATAGTATTGCCTATTTACTATTTTAGAACGCCGTGAGGGTGCATATCACTTAACGTTTCTGTTTTAAAATACATAGCCAAATGTTACATGTTCACTTGTCATTGCTCTTCATGTTTTTGTCCTATGTGATTATCATATTTCATTATTTGAAAATATTTTGCCTTTATTCATGAAGGAGTGATGTATCAATTATAATAGTAATAGTTGATTGATTATTTCTTTTAAGGAGGTAAATCGCATGGTATAATAGTAATATATTTTGAGAAATTCTGATTCTTTATTGTTTAAAAGTTAAGATTTTAGAGTTGATTTGCATCTCGTAATAGCTTTTGTATCACTGCGTTATTTCCACTTGTACAGTGTTGTTACTTGTTAGAAGTTCTGTTTTCTGAGTTTCTTAAATCATGTTTTAAAATTATAATTGTATTTTTTTTTTATAATTTTTGTGTTATTGTACTATTTACTATATTAAAAATTAAAGATCAATGGGTCTTATGCCTCACCCCGTGCTAAGTAAAATGCTCCGCGCGCCCCCGCAATTTACATCAGTGCTTGTCCCTTCTCCACTACATCTGGAGGTATTTAGTTGTTCTCCACTGAATGTTAATTTTTTGTGCAGATTTTGTTAATGGGATCGAACAGTGATGAATTGAAGAAGATTAAACATGTAGTCAAAGATGCGATCATCGTGGCGTACAATTTAATCCTAGAGACTTCGTTCCTTCTGGATCAAAAAGCAATGTTCTCAACTCTACCTCTTAGCCAGGAGGTGAATCTAACACTTGGTAACGAAACACCATCTGTTAGTGATGGGCAAGGAATTATCTCTAACACTGAGGAGCATGTCGGTGAAATAAGTTCATCTGGTACAGTTGATATTCCAATATCCAATGGCTTCCATGAAGAAATAAGTCATAAGTTAGACGCACAAAGCGAATCTCTACAATATGAGCCATACAACCCAGTCGTTCTCTCTGGATTATCATCTATCTCATCCTCTGTCAGAAGGATTATAGGGAATAAATTTCCTCTCTTCTCCACCTCTCATCAATCCATGTCCTCGTATTTCAGTCTTAATGGAACCACGAAAGATGATCAGGTGCAAGCTGATGTTCAAGTTTCTAATATGCCTGATTTAATACACAGTGAGGCAGAACAAAAGACAAGTTTTGATGGCGTGAAGGCCCCTGAAAAGGAACAACATCATACCCCACTTGTGAGCCAGGTAGAATCTTTGGAATTAGAGGGATCTGGTGAACAGCTTGAAGACCAAGAACATATGAAGGATAATGTGACATCGTTTTTGGATTCTGAGAGTATTTTGGTTCTGATGTCCTGTCGAAATGCTTCAAAAGGGATTATGTGTAAGCATAGTCATTTTTCTCGGATCAAGTTCTATCAAGATTTTGATATTCCCCTTGAAAAGTTTTTGCAGGATAATTTGCTAAACCAGGTGCATATACTCAAATTTCTCCACTCGAAACTCTTTCTTTGCGTTAAGGTCCTTTCAGTTAAATTCACCAAATCTATTAGAATGATATCACTCATTTGCAGAGTACATCATTTGATGTGGCTTTACTAATCTAATTGTATCCGTTAGAATTTACTAATCTAAATGTACATTTTTTTGCTGCATCAATTGTGTCTTTTCAATACCTGGCAACATTTGCTTGTGTTTTTAAGAAGCTCTGTTGTGCAGAAGGAGTGCAAGACGTGTGGTGAATCCCCTGAAGCTCACATTTTTCATTATGCGCATCACAACAAGCTCCTTACGATTCAAGTCCGTTGTCTTCCCATGGACAAGGGCTTGCGAGGTGAACATGAAGGCAAACTTTGGATGTGGAGTCGTTGCTGTAAATGCAAATCCCAGAATGGAAGCTCATCTTCCACTAAAAGAGTGTTAATATCTACTGGCTCCCGTGGGTTTTCTTTTGGAAAATTTTTGGAGCTTAGTTTCTCAAATCCCTCTTTCTTTAGTGGACTGTCTGCATGTGGTCACTCCTTTGATAAGGATTTCCTCTACTTCTTTGGGTATGAACGCGTAGCATAGTTCTATTTTCAGTTCTTGTGAAGTAGTTTGTAATTTTACTACATTTGTATCCAGTGGCTACTACCCATCGGCAGCTGCTCTTTCTGTACCACTTTTTCCCTTTGACATGGCAACATTATTTTTTGTGATAATCATCAAGGCTGTTTCCTATGAGTTAAATAGCCATGCTGGGGCATGAGAGGATGTATATTATATTCTCTCTCCTCTCTGAAGACTGGATACAGCCTCTCTACCTCCAAGAGGTAGGGGTAAGGCCTGCATAGACTCTACCCTCCCCAGATTCCACTTTGTGGGATTTCACTTGGTATATTTTTGTTGTTGTGTCTGTCCTCTCTGAAGATATTCATGTCGTCTGTAAACGCGTGCAGATTAGGGCGAATGGTTGCAATGTTCAAGTACTCTACTGTTACTACTTATTCGGTGTTTCTTCCTCCCAAGAAGCTGGAATTTAGTAGTTCCATCAAAGGAGAATTTCTTATGCAGGAGTCCAATGATGTATGTGCTCTTACAAGTGTTCCATTTTGTTTTTATGTACCCATGCTTTTATATATTCGGCCATACATGTACTCTGCATGTGGTATTGTTCATGTTGACCTAGGATTTCTTTTGTTTCTTACACCAGGTGTACTTGAAAGGGATTATGATGTTTGTTGATGTAGAAAAAGCTCTGAAGGCTATAGAGTCTCATGTTGGAACAGTGCTAAATCTTCAAGGATCAGTTATAAAATTTTCTGAAATTGAAAACATGTTGAAGGAAGAGAGATCTCAGTTTGAGGTTAGTTCCTTTTTGTTACCTTCTAGGACTACTTGTTTGTATGAACCATGTTGGATTGAGGCATTGTTGTAGTGGTATGAGGTATCTAAGAGGGATCTCAGCATGAACTTAGTTCCTTTTCTGCTACTGTTTTAGATTACATGTTCCGATAGGATTTAACTTGACCGGCCATGGTGGATTTATCCATCATAATTGAGTAACTAGAATTTGGAGACATTATGTTTTTCTCAACAATGGTGGATTTGTGTGTCATCATTGTGACTATGTTCCCCTGGGATGTTTTTCCCATAGTATAATTAGTTTCCTAGCTTTCTCGCGAGAGTTTGTTCACTTTTTTATGTTGACGATTTTGATATTGATGTTGATGCAATGTGTAGGATGTGTTAGGGTACAATAATGTTCATGTATTCTCAAATATGTAAACATGCTAGTAACAAGCAGAGGCAAACCCAGGACTCGAAGATAAGGGGGCCACTAAGAGTGGCCTCAAGGGTAAGGTTAGCAGAGAGCCCTGCTTAGGCCTCCAAAATTTTGAGGTCCCAAAAAATTTTAATTGTGAATTTTATTATTTTATTTCACTTTAACCAATATTGAACATTATAATTACAAAAATTTAAAAAATTAAAAGAAGAACAATCAACTTTTTATCAAGAATATTTTAGAATTTTGAATAAATAACTCAAACCATCTCGAATATGAGCCCTTAAACCATGCCTTACAAATCTACGCATTTTTCGTTCCGAATCTAGTTTGAGGATATTCATTATCATTAATATCCGGTTGACAAGGCCCTTGTTGAATATAGTGTCTTCTCACTTCATCTCGTATTCTTGGGCTATATTTATCAATGGATATTCTTTCTCCAAGATCCGGTTTAAGTGATTGCAAATCAAACTCATCTATAAAACGCGAAGAATTGTCTCTAAAACTAGCACCTGGTTGAGAAGAATTATGTTTCATAAAAAATCTACCCATTTCAAATCACAAGAATTAACAACAAATTCTTACAAAAAAAAGAACGCTTGTAAAGAAGAGCTTAACAATTTATGCGAGATAATTGGGGTAGGACTTCAATTATGATGTGAAGGATACTTGTAAGTTGTAGATTTTCTAGCAGTCTTATATTTTGTTGATTTTTAAAAAAGGTTACTTGTAAAGAAAAAACTGATTTTAAAGTTAAAAAAAGAAGCCTTTCGCGGGATTCGAACTCGTGTGGTCGCTGTTTGAAATGGCGACTTTGACCAGTGTACCCAGGCGAGTTTTTGCTGTAAGGGTACACAATCAATTATATTATCGTTTTTATCAACTACCTATACGTATATATACAATATTTTTAAAAAAAGTTATGTGCACCCGGGTCCGCCTCTGGTAATAAGAGTAGTTATGTTGTTGATTGTTTTGGTGCAGTGCATTTAGGATATGGAGTCTAGAATTATCAAATTAATATCGAATTCATAAATAATAAATCAATATATGAATTTTAGAGAGAGAAGCACTTGTTTTGTGCTTTCCCTTCAAGCGCAACTCAAGTACCACATGAGCAATGTGAATTGCTTGTATTATGCCTTGCTTCAAGGGCAACTCAAGTGTGTCTTAAACAGCAGTTAGCTGAATATTTTGTGTGTTTTCCTCATTGTGCTGCTCTTAGGTTTTTGATTCAGACATTTAAAGTAGCTATATCTAAACCCCTTTTTCTTTGTCTCATATATTTATGTGGACTCAATATCAGGTTGACGTAAAAAATGTTATTGAAGATGGGATTCAGGATGTCATGGTATATAAACATTTAAGTTTGAATAGAATACGACTAGATCTTCTGCTTGAGTCGTGTGTGTGGGATCGTCGTCTTCATTCGTTGCTATCTTCTTATTATATGGATGGTGATTCCAAAGCCATTAACCCAAAGCAATCAACACTGCCAGATATTGAACCTATTAGCCAGAAGGAGAAACTAGGAAAGTACAGTGGTGAAAGAGATGCTAATGGGACAGAAGCAAATCTGGGAGGTGGTGACGAAGCTTTGGAAGATTGTCATGATATCAATATTGATTTCGCTGCGGATTCTTCTGCAGAGGAAAACAATGGGACAGAAGCTATTAAAGAACATTTGAACCGTAATTGTGATTTGAAATTGAATTTGGTATCTACCGAAGCAAATGGTTCTCTGATTGTTGAAATCCCTGTCGAAGCTAGTGTTGGTGGATTTAGAGAACAAAATGGATCACTGGATTCGTCTGCTTTTACTGAAGTTATTGAGTTATCAACTGCAGCAAAAACAACTGGAAATGGATCATCCATCGACGATCCTGCAGGGAAATTTGAATGCTTACACTCTGGTGATGAAAATAATCTACAATCCAATCTTCCTTCACCTACACATTTGCAGTTGGAAAATCCAAGTGTTTCTAGCACTAATGGGAGGAGTGCCAGTGATTCTATGGACCCTCAAAGGAGTAAATCCCTTGCCTCAATATTATCCAATATTGAGAATGATAAGGGGTGGTGGGCTCCATTTCCTGAAATTCGGCATAAATACATGAAGGATCTGCAGAGAGGTTACCTGCCAAAATTAGGATCCATCACAACCCATGCTGTAGAAACTACAGCTTATAAACTTGTTATTGATGAGGGTGCAAGGGTGCACATTCCCCTTGGAAATGACAAGTACATTGTGTCTGATTATGAAGATGAATTTTCTAGCATCATCGCTTGCGCTTTAGCATCGCTGAAGGATTTACCAATTGTGGGTGAAGATCTTAGAGATGTTGGAAGAAAAGATAGAGGAATTGATGATAAGGCACATGAAAGTTCTCAAGGCATAATGAGATTATTCTCGCTGGCTCCTCATTTCTCTTCAAGTAGCTCTTTAGATCTAGAAGGGATCCAGTCTACCCAAGTTTCAGAACAAACACGTTCATCGAGTATGAATGGGTTAGATATGTTAAATTCTTTGGTTTCTTTTTCAACTCTTCATCCTGAAGTCTCTATGGGTTCTGGGAAATTGCCTGGGAAGCGTAAATACTCAGTTATATGTCTCTATGCTAGTGAGTTCTCTCATTTGCGAGGTCGATGTTGCCCATCTGAAGTTGATTATATTGCTTCACTAAGTAGGTGTAAGAAGTGGGATGCTAAAGGTGGGAAAAGTAAATCCTTGTTTGCCAAAACTCTCGATGACCGTCTCATCATCAAGGAAATACAGAGAATCGAATTTGAATCATTCTTGAAGTTTGGTCCTAATTATTTTGAGTACATGGAACAGTGCTACGAGAAGGGAAATCAGACCTGCCTTGCAAAAGTTCTTGGCATTTATCAGGTTTATTAATTAACTATAAACTTCATTTCTGCCTATTAGCACAGAACTGATTTAAAATTTGCCAACACAGTACACATGGTCTTTTGGACTTTGGTCTCAGTATTTGTAAATTGCAGGTCATTGTAAGGCCAACAAAAAGTGGGAAAGAGACGAAACATGATCTCATGGTGATGGAGAACCTTTCATTTGGAAGAAATATTACTAGGCAGTATGATCTAAAAGGAGCTCTGCATGCTCGATTTAATTCAGCTGGCAGTTCTGACGGAGATGTTCTTTTGGACCAAAATTTTGTGAATGACATGAAAATCTCTCCTTTGTATGTTGGCACGAGATCAAAGAGGAACTTGCAGCGAGCTGTATGGAATGACTGTGGTTTTCTCAATGTAAGTTTTGCATAAACTCCTACTGATGAATTACCTGTAGCTCACATTTAGTAAATCCTAAGTAGTGCTAAAAATCATGTGACTTCTGCTTATGATAAGCATGCACTCCGACAATTTATGGGTTAGTTTCTAAACTGGTACATTTTCTGAACAACAGTCGGTCAATGTGATGGACTACTCCTTACTTGTTGGAGTAGATACTCAGCGCCGTGAACTTGTTTGTGGCATAATTGACTATCTCAGGCAGTATACTTGGGATAAGCAAATTGAGAATTGGGTCAAATCCTCGCTTGTGGTTCCCAAGAATCAGCTTCCTACTGTTCTCTCTCCGAGGGAGTATAAAAAGAGATTTAGGAAGTTTATCGACACACATTTCCTAAGTGTTCCAGAAAATTGGTGCTCTCAAAGACCTTCAAATCCTTGCATACTTTGTGGCACAGCAGGTACTAACGCACCCCCTGAGTCGAAATCTGAAGATGCCAACTCTAAAGGTCAAGAGGAGCACAGACATGAGTCCTCTGGCACTCAATCAACTGCTCATGGAAACCAAAATGATATTTCTGCCTGAGTTCTTGTTTTTTTAACCTTCCTTCTTGCTGGTTCATTTGTTTTCCCTAGTCATTAATTTGTGTACATAGCTGCTCGGACCCCCGTTGTCCAAGCACCTATATATATATATATATACACACACACATACACCCCCTTTCTCATTTCTGCGATTTTTTATAGCAACTTTATGGGGATAGTTTCATTCTTTTAAGGCCATTTTAGGTTTGAATATATCGAGTCTATTGTTTAAAAATTGTAAAAAAAAGCTCTTCCTGGTGCAGTTAACAGCTGCTCAAGCTTTTATAGTATTTGCTGTAAGATGTTATTCATATAGTGGTATAAATACATTGCTCTCTTTTGTTGAGACACTAAAGTTTCAATACTTCCTCTCTAGGGTTATTCCTTCAAATAACCTAGTTTGAATGCTCATTAACTGTTGTATTGTTTGTTTAGATACCATCTTTGATCTGATTGTTATTTAAATTTATTGTATTGTATCGTTTAGATTCGTCGTTAGGTAATGAAGAAAAGTGTCATTTTTAGCTATCGACTCGGTGTAATTGTGTTATTACCTTTCATATTTTCTTCTCGTCTTGTCTTTACTTATTATTAATAATCTTATTGTATCATTTATCCTACAATTTCATTGTAAGAGAGCCAAAGCAAAACATTGTAAAAGCACTATGGAGTATGAGATTATATTTAATAGAAAACCTTTATGTAACACAGATAAATCATAACTAGCATCACAAACATATAATTGTGTATGTAAACCACATATGCATACATTGATATATAATTTTTTTTTCTAAATTTTATAAGAGGAAAGGAAATACATACCTTTCTTTGTGTATGGTTGATCATGAAATGAAGTTTTTCCTTGCTTGGTAATTCATTGTAAACTTTGCCTTGTAATGATAAATCAATAATGAAATAATCCATTATTTTCTGTTTAATATATGAAGTTAAAACACAGAAAATAGATTAGAAGAGAGATTTGTTGTTAAAAGATGAAAATTGTGTTTTTCTTTTTCTTATTGGAGAAAGACTTGTGATTTTCACGGATTTCCTATTATTCAGATCAGTCTCCATTCTTTTCCAACTACTTTATTTTATTTTTTTTCAAAATTATTTTCCTTTAATATATTTTTCACCTTCTATTTATTTATTACTTTTTCACAAATGTAAACTTTGCCTCTGTGTCCTGAGGGATATGTATCTTCCATATACACGTATACAACTCAACCATAAATATTGTTAGATTCCACCTAAAGTCACTATTGAAGTTATTTTGAATTTTCTAAAAGACACATTAACTGTGCAACTGTCATATACCCCAATAAATAATTTTGAACACTTGAAGTTGTTTAGTGGATAACATGACGGTTGTAAAATTAAGATTTTTTTTAAAAATACGGAACAATTTCGATAGTGACTTTATGTCTTTTCTCTCACTTTAATTAACACTAACTTTTTCATATTTGGTATTTCCTTTTAAGGGATGCGTTCTTACATACCAAATAAACAGGATTATAGGCAAGTACAACTGAATAACACACCTTATCAAAATCTCATAAGAATTTGTGTTAATACAAAGAGACTCAATTAAGCTACCTACTAGCACTAAAATTTTGGACAACAACCTCTTTCCATTGAAAGGCACATTGCTCAAACTAAACAAAACCTTGATGAAAACTATGAGTGTACTGTGATTTAGACTAGTTGTATGAAGCATGTATGATATGATATATTGGCTTTTGAATCAAGACAAAGGAAAAAAGACTCAGAAAACTCAAGTACAATGGCAACGAAGGGGAACTGAGACACCGGGAGGTTTCCTCTTCTCACGGATGATAGCTTCTTTAATCATGGGCAGTTTTTGGTGAACCTTTCTCCATATGTAATTTATAGCACCATTTGGAGATATAGGACCAATACCACCTGGTTGACCATTTTCATACTCAAAAATGGGCTGTACTATAGCCATATTACGCCGAAACCTATCTTTTTGCTCATAGGAATAGCTTCGAAGATGGTTCACGAGCCAACTTGGTTGCAGTGCATCACTAACTGACACAAACACTGCAAATTCTGAATAGTCCACCATCCCTTCAAATGGGAGCTCGATGTTGTCACTAACAATGACAGGAATACAAAGACTTTGAATGGCATCAAAAAGTCGGCATGAGGTTGGTGTGTCCCCTGCAGGGTGCAAGCAGAACTCTGAAGTCCTCATTCCCTTTATAGACTGCTCCTTTCCAGTGGCATTTGGAAAGCCTTCCTCCATCACTACTCTGGGTTCATTTATTAGCAAGTCCCAAAGCTTTTCACGAACAATGCCTCCCTGCACAAAGAAATACAAGACGATTTAAGTCTGGTAAGCAAGAAGTGGGATGTTATGGTTTAATCTAGACCTTTCATGAGCAGAAACCGTCTATAAAACTTGTACAACTGGTAGCCAAATCAAGAATTAATAAGCATACAACAGAAGGTCCTCTTTGTGCTTCACTCTGACAATGATTTTACCAATCAATGACTTAGTTATACATATAAAACGTTTCTAGACATAGAGCAAGTTCATTTACAGTAGTCCAAGAAATTACAATCATATTGAAATACAAATACATTGTTTTCTGACAATCTGATGATGGAGAGGAGTTTCAGTTATAATCTTGTGAAGAAGCTCCAGTGCAAGAATAGATTAATTGACTTGACTCACAAGTAAAATAGATCATACACCCAGTATGATTGCATGACGGAAGCAGACAATATATTTTTGTGGATGTCTGGAAGAACTCAACAAACTACCCAATGCCTATGTTTAGCTCCATTGAAGCAAAGGGTTTTTTGTGTCTGTAATAGTTGGGAGAAGGAGACAGTAAATAGCTACACGAGACAATTACATACTTAAGTGACCAAAACTTTTGCATGGTTATCTAATAAGACTGATTTTCCATGGGGTGCTTCGCTAACTCCTACCAGCACAAGTACCAAGTAACTCTATCCACCATGGCTAAAGTAAGTGGGAAAAAAATTACCTAGCGTTTGTTGTTTCTGCAGGTATAAGAACCCTGATCACTCATTTTCACCTACTTCATTGATGCTATGCAACACCCTTGCATTCAAGGACCTTGTTTTCTACCAGGCCTTAATATAATTCAAGCTACTTGTTTTCTCTTAAGCTTTTATAAAATTGTTTCCCTTTATGGAGTCATTCAGATTGTTGGAATTACATTCTGAAGTCATGTCATTTTTCATCTCATTCCACCTGCTCTTTTCAACATATGTACGAATATAAGTTACACATCAGCAAACACCAAGATCCATGTGCCAGTTCCACCTTCTACCACCATTACATTCCACCAACTTTATGTCTGACCAAATAACAAAAAATGTCTTAAGAAATGATCTTAGGTAAAATATCTTGGATGAAATTGGTATCCACGGCAGACAATGTTGTCATATCAATCAGATGACAAACACCTAATATTTAATGACAAAGTTGTCTCCATTTGTTAGTATCATTATTGCAAAGAGCTGCAGTCTTATGTGAACAAGCAATTAAAACCTCAACTTTAAGACAAAATAATTGTTTGACCTGACTTATACATAAAAATGGATTATATACACAAATTATTAGAAGCAGGGTTGCATTTTATATGTAGCTAGACTTCTGGAAAAAGTAAATCGTACTGACCCGATGCCTATGTTTAGCCCCTTTGAAGTAAAGAAGGATTTCTCGTTTTTGGTTTTCAGATAAGGGCAAACGAGGAAGTAGATGGGTATAAGGCACTATGACATCCTTCAGCAATGAAACTTGAGTGTGGTGTATCATGTCAGATGAGCTCTCATTAGATACTTTTGAGTCAAGCTTGTACCACCCACCAAAATCAACCACCAGTAGAATTGCTGGAGCAACCTCAGCCTTCACATGCCACATTGCAACAGGGTCTGCCAAAGAATGCTTCAAGTTTTAAAATAACCTGACATTGCAGAGACTAAATATAAGATGCTAAGATGTTGTTCCACTTCCAATTTGTTTTCAGGCAGAACATAATTGGGAAAGAACAATCGCACAGTCAATAGAAAAGCAAGGCTGGTAAGACGATCTAACAAAAAGAACTTGGGTTGTTTGCTACTTCCAATTCATGGTCATACACGAATTCTAAAAATCAGTTAAGCAACTGCACATGATAAAGAGTCAACATCATACCAACAAACAACTTTTGCCAATCACAGAACAACTGAAAGAAACAGAATACTGGGTAATATTCAAGGTGGAGCAGAGGATGTGTGATGAAAAATGTTTGCAGGATAATTAATCGGTGATCACAACTGCATTGGATTAAATAATATAGGTGGAAAACGGAAGGAGACTCAAATAGCAAGATATGGCTCATTCAACAAAATACCATCAAAATAGTAGTGCGCTTCACCACATATATGCAATGAAGAATGAACTGACATTCACCCGGAGAATCTCCATAGGTGCATGCCTGTTTATGCAAAATGCAAGAAGGGGAACCACTTCTCCACCTAGGTAAATTTATCACTCTTCACAGCCCCTATCAAATCCATGTGCCCATATTAAGGTCTCCAAGAGCCCCGCTTATTATTTTGCGGCTTATAAGATTCAAGCACTTAAGGATAAGTACATTTAACAAATTGAACAGTTGTTACCAAGTCTGATCAAACTCTTCTGGGCTCATAGTTACGACTTAGCTTACATCACATAACTCAGATGCTCCCCAGTAAAATCGAAAAAAAACAAACCTAAAATCCGAAAGCTTCTGATGACGTAAAAAGGCAAGCTCTACATAATAGAAGGGCCACTATCCGGATGATTTTTTATACCGAAATTTAAGTTGTGTTGCAAGATATAAGAGTCCAAATTGGATTCGACAAACATAGAAATCAGCAAGTTTTAGCAGAATCTTTCAGTAACTGTTTGATAAGGTTGTAAGCATGAGTCAATGTAGAATACAACTATATACAAACAGTGTACAATAGCCAACATAAGTATTATATGAGAATTCATAAATTACATTGCGGCTGCAGTCTAACAGATCAACCAATTGAATCTATGATAAAATGAAAGTCTAAGCTAAATATCCACCTATTTCTTGACAATCACCTTCATTAAATTCAGATTTCCAGTTCCACCAGTTATGTCCTTAATTTCTTCAATTAGAGTTGAATGAGTGATGTCCGTTCATCCAACAATGCTGAAGCGGCTATTGCGGTCTTTTCTCAATTTTTTTTTACCATAACACAAGGCGTAGGACAAAAGGAAAAGGAGGAATGGGATGCTACATACGAATTTGGAATCCTCCACCTACTTGGTGAACAGTAAGGATGTTCACTAAGTGAGCTAGCTATCAACTTCAACACCTATGGAGGGTAAGCCATTTGAAGAGCATTTACAAAAGAATATGCAGAAAATTTTGCTGGCTCAGTTCCTTCTTTTATTTCAGGGGGGAAAATAAAGAAAAGGAAAATACCAATTTCATATGCAGATTATTTCCACACTTCGGAAGTTACTAAAACCAAAAACTAAGATATACAGAAGAATGGAACCCCTCTACAAAAGGTTATCCTAATTGCAAAAAGATCAAATTCTATCTCAATACCATCTATTGCATAAAGTACCGATGGTACCAGGAGTCTCTATAATCGTTAAGACACATGCATAAACAAAGAACTATACAAGCTTCATCTAGAAACACCCAATGTCCAATCTTTCAAGTAACGGTGCACAATAAAACAGTAACTAAAAAGATTAACAGACTCCGGAGCATGGTTATGATGAATCACAAATTCCCCATCAAATTGATAATTCAGATCCGTGGCACCAGAACAATACAACCGCGAACTCTAAATTTCTCCATCAAATTTGCAATCATTCATGTTTTACTTTTTAGTAGCATCTTGTATCTTGCAATCCAACTCAACTACTAAATCTGGAATTTTCCTATAACTTCTATCTCAAATCATCTCCAATTAAGAAAAGAATTATAACTTCAAACTTCCTCAAGAAATTAATGTATCATCTAGAGATGAATACTTAGTAATTGGATAGTAGTTTAGGTAGCGAACGACTAACTTGTCCCGTGGAAAAGATGTCATGAACCCAAATATTACTGTGGCACATGGGAAACACTTGAGTTTAAAGTGCTATTCACTCTCACATATACACACATTAACTTGGCTCAAAGGGTTATGCTAAATCTGGAAAAATTCCAACAATCCAAAATATCTTCTCTCTACTCCTTCCTCTCTTTCAATCTTTTCTCATCTTCATCTTCTTAATTCTTTCAGGGAACCACGGAGAAGTTCAAGCTCATTAATGGAGTTTTAGCTTCAAATCTTTCCTCTTTCATTTTGCTCATTCAAGATAATTACAGTTTTATTCATTCTACAAGTAATAAAATTCCCATTTCCGCCTAAATTCTCTGATTTTGATATAACTACATAAACAAAAGAACTATATTAAGGGTAAAACTGCTAAAATGTCATGAACAAAAATGACTGACATGAACAGCAACTGAACATTTCGAAGCAATAAGATATAAGGATGTACACAAAGCTTACCAGTAATAACAAACACATGATCACGACCACCAGAGCGTTTCCAAACCTCAGTTTGCTTCAAAAAATCCAGAACCATTCTTTGTCTCTGATAGTCCTCATTCCCCTCTTTCTTCCTGAACACACCCTTATTCACAATCAGTTGCATCTCAGCACTCAATGTAGCAAAAAAAGGAACAAAAATCACATCAGCTTCCTCAGCAGTAAACACCCTTTTCGCAAAAGATCCAAGTTTTAATTTTTCAGGTGTCATCAAATCCCCCAAGATCCAATACTCAGCACTGTACTGTTTGATTATTGGGTTTTCTGGATAAGGAAGGGAATTCTTGGAACTTTTTCCTACATGGGTCTTCCTTATTTGATTATCTACTTCACTCCCAATTCTTGAATCTGAATCTAAATCCCAGTAATTTTCCAATAAGCCATAGTTTAGAGATCTTGGAAGATTTGCTACATAAACTTTGATGGAATTTGGAGATGTTTGAAGGTTGATTTGTGGGTTTAGGGAAAGTTGGGTTGGAGAAGAACGGAAGAAGAAAAGAGAGATTGGTAGAATGCAGAGTAGAGAAAGGGAGATGAAGAGAGATGGGATGCTGCAGGATGAACGAGTGGCAGAGTTCTTCAATGGTATCATCTTCTTTGATAAAGTACTACTACTGTTAGTGGAAATTTGTCAATAACAACACAATCTCCATAGATTTTGTGAAAACATTACCAATAGTGGAAAGATTTGGATTTATGTTTTCATCTCCCCTTACCTAAACTGTTCCATTTGTATTCCCATGTTATAACCTGGATGGGATGGAGTGAACATCAAAATCCAACTGAAATCAATAATTATTCGAATTAAAAAAAAAATTACTGATTTAATGTTTTGATAATAATTTTAATTTTTTTATTATTATTGAGTTATTGATTCTTTAACGATTTGAGGGTTTTTGCACACTGGTTGATTTGGTCTGTCACCTTGTTTCTAAAGTGATTTTTCAATGATATTTTTTGTGTAATCTTGATGGTTAAGTTGATAACGATCAACAATTGATAACTTTGATTGAATTATTTTTCAGCATAATATATAAATGTGCTCTTTAACTTAACCTCATTTTACGTTTATGTCCTCCAACTTTGGATATGCATAAGTAGACACTTAAACTTGTATAAAGTAGAACAAGTAAACACATGAGTCCTACATGACATAATACATATATGACATATAATGACATGTAAATCTATTTGTTTAAATTTATACAAGTTTAAGTGTTTACTTGTGTACATCAAAACATAAATGAAATTAGAAGCAAAACGCCTAGATGTCCAATCAATTGTTGCGCCTCAACGCATTTCGGGGAGAACCAACTAGCTCTGGGTGCAAGTGACATTTCACCCCTAACCACAACTCACCCGCGAATTTCCCAGAAAAACCAACAAACTAATCCTTTAAAGGTCATATTTATGTATTATGCCCTGTTTTTTCTGTCAATGTTGCTCTATAATTTTCTTTCAGTTCTACTATTAATAGAACTCTATAAACACTGGCATATAAAAATGAAAAAAAAAAAGGAAGAATGAAAGGGAATATCAACAGATAATTATATAGAAATCCTCCGTTGTGTGACAATGTCACCCAAAACTAGATTTTCAAAGTACTGGATTCAAAATTCTATCTGATTTAACGCTAAAAGTTAAGCATAATGTCTCTTCTGCACCTACATTCCAGCAGTTACTGGACTAATGCTCCAACACAACCTCGTCAAAGTTCCAGTCTCTGACTATATCCCTCCTCACAGCACGGCTTCTGACAAGCCGTGGGGGGCCTGTTATGCCATTATTCGTATCAGTAGGCTGAGGGGTCACTTTAGAGGTTGTGATGCCACCATTTGCAGCTGGGTGGCCAAGCGATATTTTCTTGATCAAACAATTGGCAATCGCTGAACATCTTCCGTCATTGTCTGAACTCGATACAGAGTAACTTCTGAAGGACTGTGATGGGCTTTCAACACTATGGCACACCAGACATGCCAGACTCATGTTTCACTTTGAGCAGCCTCAAGATGTGAAAACGGTTTTGCTGTAATTATACATTCAAAGAATATAAGGTCCATGGCAAAAGAAAATATGAAGAACAAAAGTGCGTCTGTGTGTGTGATATGCTGTGGTTGCAATAATAGGAAAGGAAGTGTAGAAACCATAGATCAATTGACATGCGATGATTGCTAGTAGAAATCCTTAAATCTATTGGTGACATGCAACATTTTCAACTTTTGCCAATATAACAAACCATGTTGCAATTTCACCAATAATTACAGTACAAGCTAACACAACCACATCGAACACAAGCTCATCCTACCCCAAAAAAACAAAGAACGTGTTCCCAGGCATGCAGGGTCACAAATTATTAACATACTAGGGAAACTCATGATAGTAAGTGTTCTATTCTAATAAGCATCCATTAGCACAAACATTTTGAAGTGCCAAATTGACTTAACAAATCGTATACAATCCAAACCTCATATAAAATTTTGGAGAAACAAAACAAGATATAGGACTGAAGAGTGTTGTGCCATCATAGTTGTATTATGACTACGAAGATGCAGGCTATAAAAGTGCCCCATAGAGTGCTTGCAATTAACTGCTCAATTTTCAACTGGTACACAACTATCCTTGGAAAATGAACATATATTTCAAAAATCAATAAAACACGTGGAGACTGCCTCTCCTATTCCTTCTACAGCTTATCCTCACAAGGTAACTGAATAAAATGCATTACAAAATATGAACACAACATAAAGCTTCTCTAATTCCTGAAGTGACCAAATTAAACTTCCAATTTTCTGAATCAGTCCATACAGATGTAAGAAGTTGAATCAACCTTTATTAGCCCCAAAGAAATCAGATCTATTGAAACTTAGCCTCTTATCGACCTGAATTAAGTCATGCTAATTACCACTAAGAGTACTTCTTTTTGCTTTATAACCATTCTTTACCATCATTCTTTCAACTTGATTAGTTGCCAACTCCAAAAACAACCAATCATTTTACTACTAATTTCAGTTTACGATTTTAATACAGAGTACGAAAACTTTTTGGCTCCTGTCATAATGTATGTGAACCAATATCAAGAGACAACAAAATGTCAAGCCAAAAAATTGCAGTCCTCAAGTGTAGAGATACCTATAATAGGATACAAACCCATGGATAAAGAAACTGGAATAAAAGGTCCACTACACATCTTAATAAAGAAAAGAAATAGAACTATAAGCATGACTGGGACATTCTAGACGCGTAACAGAAATACATTTAGAGCATTAACTTTTTTCTAAAGTCATACTTCCACAAAACAAAGTGCTTTGTGTATTTCATATTTGTGCATGGACAAAGTGCACCTTAATTGTTACGAGTATATGAAAACATAATATTTCTTATCTTTGCTACTTGTCCTCGTCCAGTTATGTAACCGTCTTCCAATTTTTTGGAATTTAAAAGTTGAAAATCATTATATTCCTTCTTGTTACCAACAAAAAGAAAAGGTGCTGCCTATTACCAGGGCTATATCAAGAATAAGGGACCACGAAAAGTTATATGAGGTGCCCTTTGTTTTTCTTTGGATGAACCAGAAGCTCAAAAGCTATCCTACTTCAAAAACCCGCCAAAAGAAAAGCAAGAACTCAACAGACAACTCAAGAAGACATTACCAAATACCAACTATACAAAACCTGTCAACTACAGATTATTTCCTTCATTTTACTCTGAAGTAAAACAATTTGTCATGGACCACATCACATTGTAAAAAAGAAAGCTTGAGAAGTTTCCCAACTTCTACTTGCAGATTTGTGGCATAATGCTTACTAACTTTCTTGTGCAGCTTAACATTTTCTAGTAACAGTGTGACCAGGATCATCAAGAGTTGGCTTTGGGTACATGCAAATCCAATATCCTAATGCATAACCACTTCCAATATTGAAGCTCGAGTTCTATTAAATTGCAACTGATTTCAAAGATCCAATCAACTTTGAATACAATGAATAGCTGGATAGATAAAATCTTTAGCATTCTAATCAAAATAAAGAAAACTGAACCGAATAGACGAAGATAAAACATGCAACTCCATCTATATCAAACAAATCATGTCACTTGATTATTACTAGCTGGAATCATTTAGTGCATATAAACTGTATGATAAGCATAGCAAGTCATAATATCAGATTATCGAAATAAACGAGACCTAATCATAAACTATTCACTAATGGAAACTTCTAGGTATATATTGTTCACTATCAGGTAAGATCCTATTAGAATTGAACTTGTCTTGTTTATTTGACTTGAACACTCACGACCCTTCTACTGTCTAGCTTATATGGGGAGTGTATAACCCTTTACAACAACAACTACACCTCAGTCCCAAATAAGTTGGTGTTCACTATATGAAACATCATTTCATCATTTAAACTCATATCATTTCTTCAGCATAATAAATAAATAAAGTAGAAGTGAAAAATACATTAAAAGATATATGAATAATACTTATACTAATAAATAATAAAAGGTCTGTACTACTCTAAAACCTATCCTCAACAGAGTGTATAACCCTTTGTACATTATCCATTATAAGTCCACTCAATAATATTCTCCCTTGGTATCTGATTATAGCGTCCGTCAAGACAAAAGGGTAACTAAAAAGAAACATAATCCTGTACCTATTTACACCCCTTGATTAGAAAATTGAAAAAAAACGAAACCTTTAACAGTTAAATCCGCAGCTGCTCAATGAAGCAAAAGTATAGAATTCACTTCAGCGAAAAGCAATTCTCATCTACAATTAACAATTTCATAAACCACCTACAACATGAATATTCATTCCAGTTACAACATACTGCATTTACGATTCATCAGTCAACAATCCCACGATAGCACAAGACAAAAAGCAACTAACCCTAGAAATTTAAGGCAAAGCTCCCGGAACGAAAGAATTAGCCCATACCTACTTTGTAAACAATACCTTCAACCCAGCATTGATGCACTAAACACCTCAATGTACAATAATAAAAATCAAGACCCGAGTTCAACCACAACTCAAATTCAAATTCAAAACAGAAGAACGAAAAAGGGGACTCAGCTATATCAATTCATTGTTGGCAAAAAAAAAAAATCCTCTAGGCACCACTATCTGAGAAACAGAAAACAATCACCTTGAATCCCTTATAAGGAAAACTCAAGATTTACCTACAATACACCATAAAACTAAGAAGTACCTCTACCAAAAAGGGTATACACAGGAGAACCCCAATGTACCCAAGAAACAAACAACCAAAAGAAAATGTGGGTAAGTCAAGAAACTTACCACAGATCACTAACACAAAAAGGGTACCACACAAACAAAGAAAAAAAAAATAATCAAGAAAACCTCACAAACAGCACAAAATTAAATTATTTCCCCATTCACAAAATATTGAGGATCTGATAAACAAACCTTAATTTGTGGGCAGATGAATGCTGGAGTGAATTCAAGGATCTGTTGGGTCGTTAAAGTCGGAGAAAGACTTCACTCAAAATCTGTAAAAATCCACAAAAATAAATGCTTTGGGGTGTATACTCTAACCAATCTTGAATTATCCTAAACTACCCCTCTTGGAACCATTTTTGGTAAAATAACAAATTTTTACTTTTGAAATTTTATGTACATATATAATATTCAAGCACAAATCTTTTTAAGCATATTAAGTTATTGTGAGATGATCAAAAAAAACTTATCTAGATTCATTCAATATTACTCACTAGGTAAATTATTGAGAAAATTTCATAAATAGTTTTTTTAATTCTATGAGTAGGTGTAAAATGGTCTTTTAACTATTCTTTTGTTGGATTCAGTTCTTCTATGGTTTTGGTCTCTAAAATGTATATATTTATCAGTTTTAGCTCTTTCATTATTTAAAAATTTATCAGATTTAGTTTTTATCCATTTTAATACAAATAACTTAAGTTTATATTATAGTCAGTTTGGTAGGACACCCTGATAGTTGGATTTGATGTAATTTATGTAATTACGCTGTCTTGTCTTGTTTGGGAGGACATGTAATTACTTGGTCAACATGTAATTGGTATAATTGGCGAGGGTAATTACATTCTAAATTCATAGGCAGAGACTCTGAATAGCTCATGTAATTACCACCTGGTTACTTTTTATTTTTTTAATTTCTATTTTAAGTTTTTTGTTTTAATTTTTTTTACTTCTATTATTTTAAGTTATTTTATCTAAAAATTTATAAAAGTTTTTTTTATTTTTTTTATTATATTTTATTTTCTTCTTGTTCTCAACCTTACTTTAGATGATTCTATGTAATTTTCTCGTATTATCTAGTTATTTATGTCATGCTTATTTTCTCATTCGCATAATTTTATTAGTATTTTAATTTTTAAATTAAAAAAGAATTATTGTTGAGTAACGTTATAGACTTATGTATTCTTTATTAAGAAAAATTAAAAGTAAATTATATTTAATGCTATGTTGCAATTTGTTATAAGAGTATTATGTTAATTTTTTTTGAATTTATAACTTATGTTATATTTTCAGTTTCATTCTTTTAGTAATATTGAATTTACGTTGCACGTCATTTTTAATTAGAATTGATAGATTATATTTTTATCAAATATTTAATAATTTATGATATTTTATTTATATATTATTCTTTTTATCAACATGCATTTGACTATTTTCATAGAAATATCATACTTTTAGTTGTTATGATCAATTCAATTGAAATTTATTAATCTAAAAAATATAAATTAATTATTTTTTCACAATATTTGTTACAGAAAATTTATTTATTAATCAATATATATTAAAAAAATACATATATATCTTAGATATTTAACTTAATGTCATTTATAAAGTTTCTTATTTGTCTGGTATAAATTTTAAATAATTAGTTTTTATTTTTATAATTTATTATAATTTTATTATTGCAATTGTTCATATGTCCTGTTTGGATGTCACAATGTAATTACTAGGCTGGTAACCACTATCCTAGTAATTAAATCAATTCCAATTACCAAGTGGCTTTCTATTCAGACCCTTAATGAAATCCATATCTCGAGAAATTAAATCCTTTAGCCATTTTTTCAGTTGTTTCTCTCCCTGATAATTTACTTCAAACTACCTTTATGCAAAGAACTTTAACTCAACAATTCAAAATAAGATTCACAGAGAGAAAAAATTTGAGTCATAATTTTATCCAACGGACGATAAAATGAGGCATATTGTTGTTATTAATGACTTCAGTATGCTAAACGTTATTATGAAAAAAAAATTATTACTCGTTGAATTACAAAAATTTTACTCCAATAACTTTATTTAAGGAAATTTGCTTAATATTTGACAAGTTGAAATTTATAAAATAATAGATATACAACTTTTTTAGTTTTTTTAAAAAATGGATTGCATTTTTTTTCTATTTCATATTATTTACATAGAAAAATTTGAATAATAAGATCAAATCTCTTATATTTCTTTTGTATAAAAAATAGAATTAAAAAAGTCATGTTGATTGTGAACTGTTCATTGTCAAAGAAGGGAACACAACTACCGAAGTCATAAGCAATATTTATATGCTTCATTTTATCTTTCATTGAATAAAATTAAGATTTGTATCTTCTTTTCTCATAAATTTTATTTTAAATCGTGGGGGTAATTTTTTTTCATAAAAGTAATTTGAAGAAAAAATAGCAGTGGTAGAGAAACAATTTCAAAAGATGGGTTAAAGATTTAACTTCACCAAGAGTTCCGCTAGTATAAGTCTAAGCTATTTGTAATTAAAAATGGACAAAGACCTAAGTTTTTGAGGACTTAAAAGACTAAAATCGGTAAGTATATAATTAAAGCATCAAAATTGATAATTTTTTGTATACTAAAAGAGTAAATTAAAACAGGTAAGTGTCTAGTTAAAGATCAAAACTGATAAGTTTTTGAATAGTTAAAGGACTAAAACCAACAAAAGTATAGTTAAGGGAGTATTTTAGACCTAATCATCTAGTTAAGATACTATTTATGGCATTTTCTCGTAAATTACCCATACTTTGCATCGGATTGAACTATTCTATTAAGTTTACATATGATCATTCAGTACTATTAGTATTTTTGAGAGACACACTATACTGTTAAGAATAATTATCTTAAGGCAAAACGTTCCTCCGAAATCATGAAGTGTCATATTTTTATAATTTTCATTTTTGTTGCACAAAAATTATGAGTCATAGAAAGAATTTAAGTATAAGAAAATCTCCATGGAAATAGTATGTCCAAGTGCAAATTTTTCTCAATTTTAGAAAGTTATAAAGAACAACATCAGACTTTAAAAAAAGAGACCAAAAAGCCTCGAGCAACAACACTCTCATGTAAAGTGGAATATCATGTTCATCCAAGAACAAAATTAACTGAATTCAAATGAAGAACTTTTAATTTCTTTCTTATGAACTTCCATCAATCTCTTTTCTTTTTAGGGTAAATGACAGAAACATACTTTTAAGATAAAATTACCATTTGACCCTTATAAGTTTATAATTACGTAAATCCCTAAAACTGATACAATTATGTAAGCATTGATACATTTATCTGATGCGCGAGATAATCAATCGTTAATTAAGATACATTACATTTTATACATGATCATTAATATGATGTACATTTTATACATGATACACTAACCTGATGCACGAGATACATTAATCTGATCCGTTGATACATTAATATGATGCGATGAGGTATTTTGGGGATTTGTAAAACTAATAAGAAATTATGATAATAAGAGAATTTAAAGGTGGAATTTTGGTCATTTTTCCTTTTTTAATAGTATTTGTATCATGCATATATAAAAATGATCCTAAAATTGTAAATATCATAAAAGTTTTTCCTCTTTATCTCAGAACATTCATTACTATTTCTTAGGTTTCATATCACCGGTCCCAAGTTATTTGCAATTCAACCTTACTTATTGTTAGGTTATAATACGTAATTACAAAGAATCAATGCAATGATCAACCACGAAGAGGAGACATTTGAATGGAACTGTTCACATCTAGATATTTTAAATCAAAATTTTGATATATAACATATTAAAATCTCACAACACAAATATTTACTAATAATAAGAAAAAGACACATTGTTTAACACATTTTTAAAAAGATAGTATGTTGGTTGTATCTATGGCTGCGCATATTTTTGGTTAAAATTAAAAAAACTGACCTAACTGAATTTTTAATTAGGCAACTTTTACATATAGCAAATAAAAAATTCATATTTGTATGCTATAGCAAAGTTTGCATAATTGCGCTCCATAGCAAACATAAAAATTGTATAATTCGCTATACATATATAGTTGAAGCAAATTGTATAAAACGAAGTGTATAAAAGAAGAAAGAGAAAAACACTTGGGCAGAGAACTGTATAAAAACGAAGTGTATAAAATGAATTGTATTATAATAAGTGTATAGAACGATTATATACAATTTGAATTTGTATAAAATGAGAAAGAGAGAAAGACAAAAGAGTCTTGACAAGGAATATACAATTGAATCGAATTGTATAAAACGAGAAAGAGAAAAATTAGATACAATTTGAAAATTGTATAAAACGAGATAGAGAAAAAGGCAAAAGAAATTGGGAAGGGATATATTTATTGTATAATTATAAGTGTAAAGGACGAAAATATATGCACTAGCATGTGTATATACAATTTTCTCACGCTTTATACAAACAGAAACGCAATTTATACATTTCGCTTCTGTTTGTATAAGTGAGAAAGACGAGGGTGGCGAGCGAGATTTGGGAGAGTGGCGAGCGAGATCTGGAAGAGGGGAGAGAGGAACAAAAATATATGTATTTATACAATTTTCTCTGCTTTATACAATTAGAAACAATTTTTATACACTTGTGTTTGTATAAAAATTGAGGAAGCGAGCGAGAGATTGTAAGAGAGTGGCGAGCGAGATATTTGGGAGAGAGGTGCTTGACAATTTTTTGCAAACGTTTGCTATGGAGCACAATTAAATCAAACCCTAGCTACTCTATTTATTTTAGGTTATTAGTTTGCTATTATATACAATTTTCTCTTTTTTTAAACATCAGTTTAATTTTTTGATTTTGATTTTATATTTTAAAATTTTAGTTTTTCGATTTGGTTTTAGATTTTGAAATAATTAAATTCGAATAATAAAAAAATCAAATTTTATGGCAACTCAAATATTTAGATCTCAATACATTTACAACCTATAAAAACTGACCATTAGCCCAACCAAAATGTGAAATCCCTAAACTTAAAACTGTGAATAAAAAAATTCTAATCTAAAAATTCACAATACCCAACCATCATAGACGCCACAAGACCAGGTCGATTCAATTCCAATTATGGTGTTTTCCATAAATCTATATCGAATGTGAATAGTCAAAGAACTCTAAAAAGTTTTTTTGGCTGAATTTTCAATATACCAAATCACTTGTTTTTGCTTCATATATCTATAATATTGTAGACTTGATCATTAATTTAGTTTGGAAAACTATTTTTTTAAAGAAAGAAAATCAATCCAATTTTAAAAGTTCAACAATAATGATGAAAAAATAGTGTCCAAGATGATGATATT